CACAAATTTCGTGCACCAGGCCTAGTGAGTGTGTGTGTGTGTGTGTGTGTGTGTAATATGCAAATTGACCAGACGGCAGAACAACCATCAGCTATGACATGCACTGACCATCGGGGGCAGACGCTCAATGGAGGAGATGCCCCCAGCCCACGGGCCCCAATCACCTGATCTGGGCCTGCCAGCCAACCTCTTGGTCCCTCCCCCCAGGCAGGCTCTGATCGCCCAATGGGAACTGTGAACAGGAGGTAGATGGCAGTGAACAGGGGTGGCACCGGGGCCCCAATTGCCCTGCTGGTTGCCACACACACAGAGGGTGACTGGCAGCAGCAGTGGCAGGGGGCAGGGCCAGCTGCCGGCAGCCAGGGAAGATCAGCCTAGGGACCCTATCCATGCATGAATTTCATGCTCTGGGCCTCTAGTCCTTCAATAATCATAAAATGAATTAATGCCCATAGATTGGGGGAAAATAAAAATGAATTGTTGGTGAAATTCCCATTTCATACAGTTTTTAAAGAGGCAGCTTGCTTGTTTACAGTCATTAATGGCTATATATATAAGAATGTGCTTGAATAGCTACAAATAGGCTTTAATATTCCCGGTATTTAACTAGTACATCAGAAAGTTCATTGTCAGCCCAACTCCATGTCAGTGATGTGTATCACTATGCTTTCACATTTATTAAAAAGTGAATAAGATTAGAAATGGGAAAGTAATTGGGGCCTTTAATGGTCTGTAAATTGTTCCTCTTTTTATGTGGTCATTTGTGTGTATGTGTGTTTGTATGTAGGCCTATGTATGTGTGAGCATTGGCCTCTGTGTACACACATAGCACTGCTCCCACCAGGAGGGCAGTGCTCTGAGTTATGCTTCCAGGGACAAAGAATGTATGCTAACACTGTATATTCATTCCACGAATCCCTTCGATAATTAAGAGACATGCATTTTCCCAACAGTTGACCCGAGTCAGGGTGCAACGTGACCACTGAAAACCTTAAAACAAATGGACCCTAGGGTCCAAGTCCTTGACTTCAGCTAAGAATGGCATATATCCTATCAGCAATGCTATTTAGACAAGCAGCACAGGGCCACCCTATGAAACCCTGGTCTAGCTTACTTTATATCCTCCACTTAATTTAGCTGTACACATTCTTGAAAGTTTAATCACCTCCCCTTTAGAAAAGAGCCCTGCTAACACCTGCAATCATCCCTTTCAATTATCATGTGTGGCCTTCAAAAAGAGGTCATTCCAATTTCATGGCCAACACAGGATGCAATTTTATACTTGAAAAGAAAAACAAGCACTGTCTATAATGGTACCTGAAGACAGACAGCGTTTTAGCACTGAGGACTCATTACTTTACTGTCTGGGATGTGGGGGAGAGAGGGGCCACTGGCGATGCCCTGCAGAGTTTCTAGAAAATTTTGGAACTGGGTCTTGAAGATTAATATTTTTAAAATAATTATTATGTTTGGTCTGATGGATGCAGCAATTAGTGCATGGACCTGGATGCTAAAGAAAGGTGTCTGCTAAATATCTAAGTGACATTTGATTCTCAGTGCTTGGCTAGTGCTGTTGATAGCCATAATTAAAATAGTAATCAGTGCTGCTGACCTGGCCATCACTCCTTTCTCTTCCTAAAGCTTTAATGAAACACATCCATTTTGCTTTTACAGGACTAATATTGTTGTTGATGGAACAGAGATCTTGAAGTTGAATTAATATCCGTGTGTATATACTGACCACTGGCATTCTGTCTCCTAAAAAGTATAAAGCTTTAACGGCAAAGTAGATATGAGACACATTGAAATTAAAGTTTGTGCTTTTAAAACTGAAATGTAAGATTTTTGAGAGCTCAAGTCTTTAAAGAATGATCAAAAGTGGTCCTTTATTCTTAAAGTGTCTCTTAAAGAGTGACTCTCCCTACCCTGATGGCAAAAAGGGGCCTCGGTAAGACCCAGAAGCTTTTGCTCCTTAGCCATGAACTCCACTACAGGTGCAGCACCTCGTGTTTTAAAGATGTGCGGACAATGAGATACCACATCACCCTCATTGGAATGTCTATTATCAAAAAGACAAGAACTAGCAAATGTTGGCAAAGAAAAATAATAAAAGAACCCTTGTGCATTGTTGGTGGGTCTGTAAATTGGTGAAGCCTCTAGGAGAAAGATTCTGAAGTATCCTCAGAAAATTAAAGGTAGAACCACCATGGGACCCAGCAATTCCAGTTCTGGAAATTTATCTGAGGAAAACAAAATCACTGTCTTGAAATTATATATGCACTTCCATGTTCATTGCAGCATTATTTACAATAGACAAAACATGGAAATAGCCTAAATATTCATCAACAAATGAATGGATACAGGAAATGTCATGTATATATGTGATGAAATAA